GTAAGTAAAGGTGGATGGATGATGCGATGATAGATGTATGAAATGGAGTCGGATGGATGGAAGTCGGTGATATGGGTGGATGGTGAAGTCGGATGGATAATATTGTCGGGAATGATGGTGTGTGAAGTCGATGGATAGATGATGGAAGTAGGTCGTGATGGGTGGTATGAAGTGAAATTAAAGTGGTATGAAGTGGTGAATCGTCGAAGTCGGATCGATAAAGTGAATGACTAGATGTATGATGAGTCCGGATCTGGATGGAAGTGTAAATGGAAGTGGGATGGATGGTGAGGATGTGAGTGAAAGGTGGTGTGTGAAGTGATGGATGGAGTGAAGTGTGTGTATGAAGTGAGGTGGGGAGTGATGGTGTGTGGTGGAGGTGGGAGTGATGGGTGTGGTGGTGAGGATGTGGGTGTGGAGTGTGTGGTGAGGTGGGATGGATGGTGTGTGTGGTGAGGTGGGAATGATGGAGTGTAGTGAGATGGGAGTGATGGTTTATGGTGAGGTGGGAGTGGTTGTGTATGGTGAGGTAAAGTGGGATGGATGGTGTATGGTGAGTGGTGGGAGTGATGGTGTGTTGTGAGGTGGGAGTGATGGTGTGTGGTGAGGTAAAGTGGGATGGATGGTGTATGGTGAGGTGGGAGTGATGGTGTATGGTGAGGTGGGAGTGGTGGTGTTTGGTGAGGTAAAGTGGGATGGATGGAGCGTGGTGAGGTGGGAGTGATGGTGTAAGGTGAGGTGGGAGTGGTGGTGTATGGTGAGGTGGGAGTGATGGTGTATGGTGAGGTGGGAAGGGTGGTGTATGGTGAGGTAAAGTGGGATGGATGGAGTGTGGTGAGGTGGGAGTGATGGTGTATGGTGAGGTGGGAGTGATGGTGTATGGTGAGGTGGGAGTGATGGTGTATGGTGAGGAGGTAAAAGTGGGATGGATGGAGTGTGGTGAGGTGGGAGTGATGGGTGTATGGTGAAGTGGGAGTGATGGTGTATGGTGAGGTGAGTGGGGAGTGGATGTGTGGTGAGGTAAAGTGGGAGTGGTGGTGTATGGTGAGAGTGAAGTTGGATGGATGGTGTATGGTGGGTGGGGAGTGTGGTGAGATGTATGGTGAGGTAAAGATGGAGGAGTGGTGGATGTGTATGGTGAGGAAGTAAAACAAGTGGGTTGGATGGTGGATGTGGTGAGGTGGGAGTGATGGTGTATGGTGAGTGGGATGGATGGTGTATGGTGAGGGGGGTTTGAGTGGTGTGGTCTGTATGGTGAGAGTGGGAGTTGTGTATGAGTGAGGAGTAAGAAGTGAGGAGTGGTGGTGTATGGTGAGGTAAAGTGGGATGGATGAGTGTATGGTGAGGTGGGATGGATGGAGTATAGTTGGCTGGATAGTGTGTGTTATCACCTGTAATTACTGATATTCGACCCTGTTTGATTTCAGGTATGATCCTGTCAACTCTAGATGTGTAGACCCTGTTGTGGGTTTGTTGGAGTCAACAAGCATTGCAGGAAGTTTCCGTGACTCGCAGGATGACACAGGTGTGTGGGGAGGGAGCAACTGGACAACTGTGGTTGTGTGGAGGAGAGTGGACACAGGTGTGTAGGGGAGGGCAACTGGACAGCTGTGGTTGTGGAAGGTGTGGTTGTGGAGGAGAGTGGACACGGCAGGTTGTGTGGGGAGGGACAGCTGGACAGAGAACAACTGGACCTTCTGTGGTTGTGGAGGGAGTCTGGACCAGGTGTGAGGGGAGGGGCAACTGGACATCACTGGTTGTGTGTGAGAGTCTGGACACAGGTGTGTGGGGAGGGAGAGACAACTGGACAACTGTGGTTTGTGGAGGAGAGTGGACACAGGTGTGAGGGAAGGGGGAGTAACTGGACAACTGTGGTTTGTGGAGGGAGAGTGGACACAGGTGTGAGGGAGGGGTAACTGGACAACTGTGGTTTGTGGATGGAGAGAGTGGACACAGGTGTGTGGGGAGAGGGGTAACTGGACAACTGTGGTTTGTGGAGGAGAGTGGACACAGGTGTGTGGGAGAGGGGCACAACTGGACAACTGTGGTTGTGGAGGAGAGTGGACACAGGTGTGTGGGAGGAGGGGTAACTGGACAACTGTGGTTGTGGAGGAGAGTGGACACAGGTGTGTGGGGAGGGGGTGGCTGGACAACTGGTTTGTGGAGGGAGAAGTGGACACAGGTGTGTGGGGAAGGGGTAGCTGGACAACTGTGGTTGTGGGGAGGAGTGGACACAGGTGTGTGTGAAGAGAGGGGAAAACTGGACAACTGTGGTTTGTGGAGGAGTCTGGACACAGGTGTGTGGGAAGGGGTAGCTGGACAACTGTGGTTGTGTGGGAGAGTGGACACAGGTGTGTGGGGAAGGGGTAACTGGACAACTGTGGTTTGTGGAGGGAGAGTGGACACAGGTGTGTGGGGAGGGGGTAACTGGACAACTGTGGTTGTGGAGGGAGAGTGGACACAGGTGTGAGGGGAGGGGGTAACTGGACAACTGTGGTTGTGGAGGGAGAGTGGACACAGGTGTGAGGGGAGGGGGTAACTGGACAACTGTGGTTGTGGAGGGAGAGTGGACACAGGTGTGAGGGAGGAGGGGTTAACTGGACAACTGTGGTTTGTGGAGGGAGAGTGGACACAGGTGTGAGGGGAGGGGTAACTGGACAACTGTGGTTTGTGGAGGAGAGTGGACACAGGTGTGAGGGAAGGGGGTAACTGGACAACTGTGGTTGTGGAGGGAGAGTGGACACAGGTGTGTGGGAGGGGGGAACTGGACAACTGTGGTTGTGGAGGGAGAGTGGACACAGGTGTGTGGGGGAGGGGTAACTGGACAACTGTGGTTGTGGAGGGAGGTGGACACAGGTGTGTGTGGGAGGGGTAAACTGGACAGCTGTGGTTGTGGAGGAGAAGTGGACACAGGTGTGAGGGGAGGGTAACTGGACAACTGTGGTTGTGGAGGAGAGTGGACACAGGTGTGGGGAGGGTAACTGGACAACTGTGGTTGTGGAGGAGAAGTGGACACAGGTGTGAGGGAGGGTAACTGGACAACTGTGGTTTGTGGAGGAGAGTGGACACAGGTGTGAGGGAGGGGGTAACTGGACAACTGTGGTTGTGGAGGAGAGGGAGAGTGGACACAGGTGTGGGGAGGGGTAACTGGACAACTGTGGTTGTGGAGGGAGAGTGGACACAGGTGTGAGGGAAGGGGGTAACTGGACAACTGTGGTTGTGGAGGGAGAGTGGACACAGGTGTGTGGGGAGGGGACAACTGTGGTTGTGGTGTGAGGAGTGGACAACTGTGGTGTGGAGGGAGAGTGGACACAGTGGTTGTGGAGTGAGGACTACAGGGTGGTGAGGGGAGAACACTGGACAACTGTGGTTGAGGAGAAAGTGGACACAGGTGTGTGGGGAGGGGCAACTGGACATCAGTGGTTGTGGAGGAGAGTGGACACAGGTGTGTGAGGAGGAGGTAACTGGACAACTGTGGTTGTGGAGGGAGAGTGGACACAGGTGTGAGGGGAGGGGACAACTGTGGTTGTGGAGGTAGAGTGGACACAGGTGTGAGGGGAGGGGGCAACTGGACCTAGGTACCTAAGTGGGAAGGGGAGATAGATACATAATCTTAGGGTACAAGTAGATACAATGATGATGTTGTGTTAATCCGTTTCAGCAATGATCAGCAAAATTGTAGCAGTGACAGACTCTGTGGCTCTATTCTACATATGCCTCAAGACGGAAGAAGGTGGAACATGTCCGGGAAATCAACGCATGGTTCTGTTTTGCATGTGAGGGATTGTCAATGAGCAAAGCATAGAGATAGACTAAGCCTGGTGGAGCATCTCAGTGACCTGTGTATAGGAGTGGACTGAGGATCTCCACAGCACACCACAGGGTAAGTGAGTGTCTGGTGGAGCATCTCAGCACACCACAAGGAGTGTGACCTGTGTATAGGAGTGGAGGATCTCCACAGCACACCACAGGGTAAGTGTATAGGTGTCTGGTGGAGCATGTCTGGTGGAGTGACCTGTGTATAGGAGTGGAGGATCTCCAGCACACACCTACAGGGTAAGTGAAGTGTGTCTGGTGGAGCATCTCAGTGACCTGTGTATAGGAGTGGAGGATCTCCACAGCACACCACAGGGTAAGTCAGTGTCTGGTGGAGCATCTCAGTGACCTGTGTATAGGAGAGGAGGATCTCCACAGCACACCACAGGGTAAGTGAGTGTCTGGTGGAGCATCTGAGTGACCTGTGTATAGGGGAGGATCTCCATAGCACACCACAGAGGTAGGATCTGTCTGAAGTGGAGCATCTCAGTGACACTGTCACAGGGTAGTGGAGGGGTCTCCACAGCACAGCATCTGAGTGACCTGTGTATAGGAGTGGAGGATCTCCCACAGCACACCACAGGGGTAAGTCAGTGTCTGGTAGAGGAGTGGAGGATCTCAGTGACCCACAGTGTATAGGGGTGGAGGATCTCCACAGCACAGCACACCAGGAGTAGAGTCAGTGTCTGGTGGAGGAGGGATCTCCCACAGCACACCACAGAGTGAGTGAGTGACCTGTGTATAGGAGTGGAGGATCTCCAGAGCACACCACAGGGTAAGTCAGTGTCTGGTGGAGGATCTCAGTGACCTGTGTATAGGGAGGTGGAGGATCTCCACAGCACACCACAGGGTAAGTGAGTGTCTGGTGGAGCATCTCAGTGACCTGTGTATAGGGGTGGAGGATCTCCACAGCACACCACAGGGTAAGTGAGTGTCTGGTGGAGCATCTCAGTGACCTGTGTATAGGGGTGGAGGATCTCCACAGCACACCACAGGTAAGTGAGTGAGTGTCTGGTGGAGCACAGCACTGGTGACCTGTGTGTGTAGGGTGGAGGATCTCCAGCAGCACACCACAGAGTGAGTGATCTCAGTGGAGTGAGTGACCTGTGTATAGGAGTGGAGGATCTCACAGAGCACACCACAGGGTAAGTGAGTGTCTGGTGGAGCATCTCAGTGACCTGTGTATGGGGTGGAGGATCTCCACAGCACACCACAGGGTAAGTGGGGTGTCTGGTGGAGCACACCACACCTGTGTATAGTGGAGATCTCCACAGCACACCACAGGGTAAGTGAGTGTCTGGTGGAGCATCTCAGTGACCTGTGTATAGGGGTGGAGGATCTCCACAGCACACCACAGAGTGAGTGAGTGACCTGTGTATAGGGGTGGAGGATCTCCCCAGCACACCACAGAGTGAGTGAGTGACCTGTGTATAGGAGTGGAGGATCTCCACAGCACACCACAGGGTAAGTGAGTGTCTGGTGGAGCATCTCAGTGACCTGTGTATAGGGTGGAGGATCTCCACAGCACACCACAGGGTAAGTCAGTGTCTGGTGGAGCATCTCAGTGACCTGTGTATAGGGGTGGAGGATCTCCACAGCACACCACAGGGTAAGTCAGTGTCTGGTGGAGCATCTCAGTGACCTGTGTATAGGAGTGGAGGATCTCCACAGCACACCACAGGGTAAGTCAGTGTCTGTGTATAGGAGTGGAGGATCTCCAGAGCACACCACAGGGTAAGTCAGTGTCTGGTGGAGCATCTCAGTGACCTGTGTATAGGAGTGGAGGATCTCCACAGCACACCACAGGGTAAGTCAGTGTCTGGTGGAGCATCTGTGTAGTGACCTGTGTATCTCAGTGACCTAGGAGAGGAGGATCTCCACAGCACACCACAGGGTAAGTCAGTGTCTGGTGGAGCATCTGAGTGACCTGTGTATAGGAGAGGAGGATCTCCACAGCACACCACAGGGTAAGTCCGTGTCTGGTGGAGCATCTCAGTGACCTGTGTATAGGAGTGGAGGATCTCCACAGCACACCACAGAGTGAGTGAGTGACCTGTGTATAGGAGTGGAGGATCTCCACAGCACACCACAGGGTAAGTCAGTGTCTGGTGGAGCATCTCAGTGACCTGTGTATAGGAGTGGAGGATCTCCACAGCACACCACAGGGTAAGTCAGTGTCTGGTGGAGCATCTCAGTGACCTGTGTATAGGAGTGGAGGATCTCCACAGCACACCACAGAGTGAGTGAGTGTCTGGTGGAGGAATGATGATCCTCCACAGTCCTTAATTCTTTTGCAGAGTTATGTCCCTTGCTACATTCCTTTTAGCTAAGTACCTGTTGTGTGCATTAGTGACTAGTCTCCTCAGCAACTACGAAAGTGTGCACGCTTACCAAACCTGAGTTCTACAAGTGGTGCAATAAATTATCTATTTTCACAGTTACTCCCTTTAGTGTTAACTTTGAACATTCATAAATATAGAAATTGTGTCTAAATGGGGATATGCATTATCAGAAACTGCTGAGGTTACAAATTACTCAAGACAGAGTTTGAAAATTGGTGCTATAAACTACCTCTTTCATGAGAAGGGACCTTTTTTGTGTATTTAATTCACACTTCATAACTTTTCTGGATGGCATAAAGCAGTCCTTGTGCATGTGACCAGTTTCTCTTCTGAAGAATTTGTGTGACAGTTTCTTTAAAAGTTAACATTCACTTTCATATTATTTATTACTACATGAACAAATATAATTCTAACATGCCCCGTGACAAAACTGACAACATTTTTATCTTGTTCGTCTTGTGTTGGACATTTCTGTATGTTTGTTAAATTACAAAAAAAGTTAAATAATGTGTTATCTTTTGAATATTGTATAGAATTTCTGGATTTGTTATTTTCAGGCCAGTGCCGGATTCCCCACACCACTGAAAGTAGTGGTAAGCAATGCCATACATTTGTTGTATACCAGATTTCTGAGACTCGTGAAGGTCCGGGTTGGAACTGATTTTCAGCAACCCATGCTTGTCGTAAGAGGCGACTTACAGGATTGGATGGTCAGACTCACTGACTTGGTTGACACATGTCATCGGTTCCCAATTGCATAGATCAATGCTCATGTTGTTAATCACTGGATTGTCTGGTCCAGACTTGATTATTTACAGGCCACTGCCATATAGCTGGAATACAGCTGAGTGCGGCATGCAGCAACAAACCAAACCAAATCCAGAGTTGGAAGTGGATAGGAGAGTTCACTCAAACTCACCTGGTTTGGTTTGGTATTTGTGGCATTGAAACATACCACAAAACACTTTGTGGAGTGAATGTTCCAACACAAACTGCTCATGAGTTCCCTGAATTAGCCGTGTGTCCAGTTCATTAGTCAGGGCAATCTGTGCAGTGACAAAATCTGTCATCTGTGATTAGGTTGGATTTTTAGAGTTCTTGTTAATTAGAAATTGTAAATAATTTCATTTGGGTAATTTATGCTTATTTGCTTTTGTTATCCCCCGCAACGCGTTTTGCGGGGGGGTATTAAAATGGACTCCGTCCGTGCATGCGTGCGTCCGTCCATCCGTGCACATTTGTCTTTTCCGGAGCAGAACTCTAAAACCGTTCAATATTTCTTCACCAAATTTGGCACATACATGGATCTGGTGGTGTACTGGTGCCTTTTGGTAGTTTTGGAATTCTGAATAAAATATTTTTGGCGTTTCCATGGCAACAAGTGAGACTTAGACTGAAATTCAATATGTCTTCACCAAACTGGTAGTGCTGCTTTCTGGAGCAGAACTTTAAAAACCTTTCAATTAGACTCTCCTTCCACTTTTCTATATACACACCTAAATATTTGACATAATCTTAACTCGTAGACATAATCATGAAGAGTATTTTGCCACTGCGGGGGATATTGATGACTTTGTCTTATTGTTTTTATTAAGTGTTTTTTTTAGATAATAAGTGTTATCATGTCTAGTTCCTTGGACAAGTCATAGTAAAAGTTACTGTAAAAGTTATCATCTTTAGTCAGGGGTCAATTTAAGGAAATGAAACCTACTTGCACCAAGTGCAACCTAAGGCAATCACCTTGTTGCACCAAACAAAAACAGGTTGCACCTGCTGCTTAGTATAAAATCTCATATATTGCTTGAGGTTTGGTAAAGACGGTTTAGAACAGTATTTTAACAAAAGAAATCTGTAGTTATCTTACTTCCTAAACTTTCATGAACAGGAAGTCCTTCAGTCACTGTTCCCACAATAATCAGAGTCACTGTTCCAAGTCAGTTCCTCATCATTCTGTTTTCCAGCTGAAGTCTGTGTTCATTGAACACAAAATATTAACATGCTCTGGGTGCAAGTTGATATACATGAGAGGTTGCATTTAGCTTTTTCAGGATGCACCAGTGCAAGTTCTAAATGCTTAAATCGAGCTCTGTTAGTTAACCTTTAAGAATTCCTTTGTTTGCTGGCACTAAGAAAACAGAACTGGGGAAACTAATTTCAGTCAACTGTCACAAAACCAAGAAACTGGGATCTGGAAATGAGACCATGAACATGGCATGCAGCATTGCGGTATCCTCAATCATGGACATACATTTCTGGGGTGGTAGCGTAGTGGTTAAAGTGTTCGCTTGTCTCGCTGAAGACCTGGGTTCGATTCCTCACATGGGTACAATGTGGGAAGCCCATTTTTTATGTACCCGTCGTGATATTGTTGGGATATTGCTAAAAACAGCGTAAAACTAAACTCACTCACTCACGCACATACACTTCTATTTGTTAAATACTTATCAAGAGTAAACGTCCTCACTTTGTCTTGAGAGTTTTTCATTGCAAGCACTTGACATGAAAACTTCACTTGACAACTGCATGGCTAATGTTTCAGTGAGCAGCAGTCTGTTTGACGGAACCGCTCCTGTATTCAGCATCTCCGTGGTGAAGCAGACCGTGATGACCTTGACCTGTAGCATGACCCGACCTCAGCTTGTTACCAAGGTAACCCATGACATTACATGTTGTCAATCACTAGAATGTCTTGTTTGGTTTCATTGTTTTACAAACTGACGTGGGGCGATGGGGTAGCCTAGTAGTTAAGGCATTCGCTCGTCACGTCAAAGACACGTGTCCGATTCCTTATATGGGTACAATGTGTGGAGCCCATTTCTGGTGTCCCCTGCCATGATATTGCTGGAACATTGCTAAAAGCGGCGTAAAACCACACTCACTCACTCACTCACAAACTGAAGTCATATTGCTGAAATATTGCAGTGGTAAACAAAGAAAGAACATTTGCATTCAATAAATAACATGACTTTTTCGAAAAAGTGTTTGCCCTAGATCTAAATTCTAGCTTTTTATGTAGAATGTTATGCTCACCATCTTCTGCTAGCAGGGGGTTGGTGGGGTAACCTAGTGGTTAAAGCGCTCGCTCGTCACACCGAAGACTGGGGTTCAATTCCCCACATGGGTACAATGTGTGAAGCCCATTTCTGGTGTTCCCCACCATGATATTGCTGGAATATTGCTGAAAGCGGCGTAAAACTAAACTCAGTCACTCACTATGCTAGCAGGCCACCTATGCTTGAAATGTTCTCAGCAAGAAGCGAGTGAGCTGGGTTTTATGCCACTTTTAGCAATATTACAGCAATATCACGGCACGGGACACCAGAAATGGGCTTCACACATGGTACGCATGTGGGGAATCGAACCCAGACCTTGTGGTGACCACTAGGCTAGCACACTAGAGCAAGAAGAAGAGTTCTGGTGGTAGAGAACTGTGATACCTCCACATTCAGTGATCATAGAAATAGTGTGAGTTCTAATTGGCCAGCAGTTTGAGCACTGTATCATTCAAAATATCATGTCACAAAGAGTATGGTAATGAATCGCAGGGTACTACCATGGTAAAATGGAAAAGAATACACTTTATAATCAAGGAAAAATGGAAAAGAATACTCTTTATAATCAAGGATGACACCAATTTATGCTTTGCTTGAAGTTTTTGTAAAGCTAAAGCTAATAGAATAAACAAGAAAAGTCTTTAAACGTTGGAGGCACCTGAGTAAATTAAGAAATTTAGTGAGAAGAATGTTAGATGATTTGTGGGGTGATGCTGATTGCAAGAGCATCATGATGACCATACCTCTGTCCGTTAGAGACTTGCTTCTATTAGAGATCGGTACTCGCATCGCAAATACGGTACTCTCATCTCAAGTTTATGACATTTCATCTGAAAGGTCTTTGTCATGTCTAACCATGTCTGCAAATGAAGTACTAGTGACGGACGGAGGAAACATGGTCCTATATATTGCCTCTATATTATAGCGGATGGTAAAGGTGACTTATCCCCCAGCCCCCTGCATTTTTGCAAAAGTAACATAAATAAAAACCCTTCAAAGAAATTCACCCATCTCAGCACTTGCGGTACTGTTACTGAACACGCGCCTCTCGAACCGATCCTAGGAAAAGAGTAGGCCCTTCACTAAATATCAGGAAAAGCTAATGGGTGCTACTAAAATGGAATGGATTTTCCATTTCTGTAATTCGAGATTATGCACTGAACTAGTACAAGTGTGCTCTATTACGTGTAAAATTGTTTTGAATTGAAAGGGTATCAGTTTATTAACATTTTAGATCAGTTAAAACACAGAATGTGTTTATTTTAGAGATTTATAGAAAACTTGATATCTGCATTAACTGTGAAGTAAAGCAGGACAATTATTTTGGATTACCCACATGGCCACGTGGCTCCTAATTCACTACAGCTATGTTCATTGGTCATTTGGAATTGCCAAAATACAAAGATACTAAGTAGCATTGGTTGAAAGTTCATTTTAAATAATCCAAGTGTATATTGTAGAGATAAATTTCACCTGATAAATAAATTTAGCCTGATTAAAAGGTTGGAGACGTTAGCACCTCCAAACAATAAAGAGACACTGGCTTTCATGCATACGTTTTACATTTTTTACAATAAATGCAATAATAATAATAATATAATCTGCAAAAATGGATGCATTAAAATATCTTTGAATTTAAGAAAATGAAACATTGTAAAAATCCCAAGTTTTAATGCAAAAATCTTCCTGCGAAGCACACCTAAAATCTTTGAAATGTCCACCATGATGGTGAATGTCTGAGTGAGAGTTATCCCTCTTGTAGGTGTCCTGGAGCAAGGTCAGTGATGCTGGGGTACGGAAGTTGACGGCAGGGGACACACGGGTCATCGATGATTCCCGAATCTCTGTCATCCGACCCTACCTGAAGGACTGGAACTTGAGGGTCATGAACTTCGGCACATTGGAGTTGGATGGGGGTGTCTACGTTTGTATGAATGACAAACAGGAGATACGCAAATATCTGGTTTCCATTGTGGGTGAGTGGAAAACTTTTGAATGGATGGGTGAGTGTTGATGGCTCAGTGGATGTGTGGATGGGTGAGTGAATGACTGGAAGGCTGGATTAGTGCCTGACAATGGATGATGAATGGGTGTATGGATGGATGGATGATTTGCTGGATGAGTGAGTGAGTGAGTGAGTGTACTCTTATTTTTACGCTGCATTCAGCAATATTCCAGCTATATGGGGGCGGTCAGTAAATAATTGAGTCTGGACCAGACAATCCAGTGGTCAACAGCATGAGCATCGATCTGTGCAATTGGGAACTGATGACATGTGTCAACCAATTCAGCAAGCCTGACCACCCGATCCCATTAGTCACCTCTTACGACAAGCATGGGTTACTGAAAATCAATATTCTAATCCGGACCTTCACAGGTTGATTTGCTGGATGAGGAGGTGGATGAATGGATGGAAGATTGGATGGGCCAATGGATGGTTGGTTGGATGAGGAGGTGCATGAGTGGATAGAAGATTGGATGGGCCAATGGATGGTTGGATGGTTCTCTGGATGAGTGGGTGGAAGATAGGATGAGCCAATGGATGGTTGGATGGTTCTCTGGATGAGTGGGTGGAAGATAGGATGGTTCTCTGGATGAGTGGGTGGAAGATAGGATGGGCCAATGGATGGTTGGATGGTTCTCTGGATGAGTGGGTGGAAGATAGGATGGGCCAATGGATGGTTGGATGGTTCTCTGGATGAGTGGGTGGAAGATAGGATGGGCCAATGGATGGATGAGGTGGTGGAAGATAGGATGGGCAAATGGATGGTTGGCTGGATGAGGTGGTGGAAGATAGGATGGGCAAATGGATGGGGCAATGGATGGTTGGATAGTTGGGCAAATGGATGGAGGCTGGTGGGTGGAAGATAGGATGGGCAAATGGATGGTTGACTGGATGAGGTGGTGGAAGATAGGATGGGCAAATGGATGGTTGGCTGGATGAGGTGGTGGAAGATAGGATGGGCAAATGGATGAGGTGGAGGTGGAAGATAGGATGGGCAAATGGATGGATGTGGTGGAAGATAGGATGGGCAAATGGATGGTTGGCTGGATGAGGTGGTGGAAGATAGGATGGGCAAATGGATGGTTGGCTGGATGAGGTGGTGGAAGATAGGATGGGCAAATGGGCAAATGGATGGAAGATTGGCTGGCTGATGAGGTGGTGGAAGATAGGATGGGCAATGGATGGGTTGGAAGATAGGATGGGCAAATGGAGGTGGTGGAAGATAGGATGGGCAGATGGATGGTTGACTGGATGAGGTGGTGGAAGATAGGATGGGCAAATGGATGGTTGGCTAGATGAGGTGGTGGAAGATGGATGGGCAAATGGATGGATGAGGTGGTGGAAGATAGGATGGGCAGATGGATGGTTGACTGGATGAGGTGGTGGAAGATAGGATGGGCAGATGCAGATGGATGGATTGAAGATAGGATGATGGAGGTGGTGGAAGATAGGATGGTGGAAGATGGATGCAAATGGATGGTGGTGGAAGATGGATGGGCAGGATGGTTGGACTGGATGAGGTGGTGGAAGATAGGATGGGCAAAATGGATGGTTGGCTGGATGAGGTGGTGGAAGATAGGATGGGCAAATGGATGGATGAGGTGGTGGAAGATAGGATGGGGCAATGGATGGTTGACTGGAATGGGCAAATGGCTGGATGAGGGTGGTAGATAGGATGGGTCAATGGATAGATTGATTGTTGGCTGGATGGATGGGTGAAAATGGGCTGGTAGTGGATTGGCTAGTGGATGGGTAATTGAATGGGTGACTGGGAAAGTGATTGGCTGGAATGAGTGATTGAGGGATTGGATGGAGTGTAGTGGAACAGATTGAGTTACTGCACTGTATTCATCTTTAACCTGCAGAGCCACCCCACATAGAGGCGTCATCAGAGTCGTTGACACCGGCGGCAGGAGACAACGTCACTCTGGTGTGTGAGGTAGCAGGGACCCCACCACCAGCTGTGTCATGGTATACCAGGAAAAACAACGCACATCAAAACAGACGTGAGCAACTGAGTGATTTAATGAATCACTGCACTTTTCTGCCTTTTTCACTACTGCTTTAGATGCTCACATCAGGGACAGACATGGTAATATATTGAAAACCATTCCTGAATATTATTAAGATTTTTGGGACGCGCCTGCCCTGGAATCACCACAGGGTTTTGAGGATTGTAATGATTGACTAACAATGCATGGCGAAAGCTTTACACTGTAGTTTATGTAACACATTTTCTTTACTAAACGGACATGTTTTCTATATTACATGACTTGGGGCATTTCGGGTAAGAAAGACCGCACTGTCACATGCTTCTTGTGAAACCTCTGTCACACTCTACTGCGTTTCCATGGAGTTTGCATGGCTTTGTGAAACTTCTCTGAGCACAGTGGGATTGGTGACAAATTCTGAAAAACATTGCACTTTTATTTAACATTTTCACAAGATGGTGATGTCATCTTGGCCTAACAATATTTGAAGCCCCATATAGGCAATGAGCAGCCTGGTGTGCTGGCGTAAAACAGTCATGGGGAAATGAGGGTGACAAAGATGAGTATGCATTTATACCATTTTTTATGGGGTTGGATCACAATGCACTGGCAACGCCCTGCAAATGTCGTGCCAACAATGATGGACGCGGTAGAAGCGCCGTGTTGGCGTGGTGATCGCCATGGCAGCTCGATGTAGCGCAGTAAAATAAATAACACACCGTGTAAGCGCCGTAGATAGAGACATGGTAGAGACGCTGACATCACTAAGGACTCCGTGAGGTCTCCGTGCAAGCACCGCTGACTACCACTGCGTCCGTACTGCGATCATGTGCGTCCTTGATGCTCGCCCACAGAGCTCCTATGGCGCTGTAGGAGACCTTACTGCACTGCTACGGCGACCCTACAGCGTCCCTACTGTGTGCAAGTCAGAATGCAGAGGGATGGAGCATACTTTGTGCATGCTCAATGTTATGGCATTCTAGGCAACCCACCGCATCAAAAAGAGATGCCACTGCATTGCTGCAGTGCTGTAGGAGACCCTACTGTGCACAACTCGGTGTTCTGCATTTTTCATGGACGCCGCAGGATCACTGTGAGGTCACAGCCCTGGTGTGACAGCTGTTTAAAAGGTTACTCCATCGATTGGTTGTCAGACTCAGATGCCTGTTTGATAGCTTGTCAAGTTGTATGGGTTGGTGCTCTTGATGTCAATCACCTGAACATCTGGTCCAGACTTCAGTGTGTATGGGCCAGCATTGCACAGATGGAATATTGATAACACCAACCACAAAGTCATTTTCATGAAGGGGCGGTGGGGTAGCCCAGTGGTTAAAGTGTTCGCTCATCACGCCAAAGGCCCGAGTTTGATTTCCCACATGGGTACAATGTGTCCATTTCTGGTGTCCCCCCGCCATGATATTGCTGGAATATTGCCAAAAATGGCATAAAACCACACTCACTCACTGACTCACTCATTTTCACATGATCATCAAGTAATCGCAACACTCCCATGGCTATACATTACTGCCTAGTGAATATATCACTACCTACATCTGTACAAGGATGGATGGTCCACAATGTCAATGTGTGTGGTAAAATCAAAAACAGATCCAGTTTGCTGAGAATATAACTGAGTTTATATCAGAATATAACCAAATGATGTATTGAGTTATCTCCCTTGACATGTCCCCCAGTCAAAATACTGAATGAAGGAAAGGGGAGGCATTTAATAGCTGTAAACCTGCATTGTTGGTCAATCATTAGATAGTGAGTAGTGTTTATGCAGCAATAGATGAACTATATTTAAGTAATCTCCTATAGTCTCTGTATGTTTTGACCATATTCCTGCTGTAGTCAGTAACTGCTATACAGATATTTTGATGGATTCTGTTATTTTACTAATGTAATAGTTAGTGCACTAACCGTTACTGGGCTAATGTGTTTTTCAAGAACTGTAATAGTTATGGGCCCCAATAGTAACTGTGTCATTGGACAAGTCCTGCAATGTCAGAGGCCTAACAGTAACTGTATAATTGGACAACTCCTGCGATAGTTGGATGCCCCAATAGTTTCTTTGTGATAGGACACATCCTTCAATAGTTGGATGACCCAATAGTAACTGTGTGTTAGGACACCTCCTTCAATAGTTGGATGCCCCAATAGTAACTGTGTTAGGACACCTCCTTCAATAGTTGGATTCCCCAATAGTAACTGTGTGTTAGGACACCTCCTGCAATGTCTGAGGCCCCAATAGTAACTGTGTGTTAGGACACCTCCTTTAATAGTTGGATGCCCCAGTAGTAACTGTGTGTTAGGACACCTCCTTCAATAGTTGGATGCCCCAATAGTAACTGTGTTAGGACACCTCCTTCAATAGTTGGATGCCCCAATAGTAACTGTGTTAGGACACCTCCTTCAATGTCTGAGGCCCCAATAGTAACTGTGTGTTAGGACACCTCCTACAATAGTTGGATGCCCCAGTAGTAACTGTGTGTTAGGACACCTCCTACAATAGTTGGATGCCCCAATAGTAACTGTGTGTTAGGACACCTCCTTCAATAGTTGGATTCCCCAATAGTAACTGTGTGTTAGGACACCTCCTGCAATGTCTGAGGCCCCAATAGTAACTGTGTGTTAGGACACCTCCTGCAATAGTTGGATGCCCCAATAGTAACTGTGTGTTAGGACACCACCTTCAATAGTTGGATTCCCCAATAGTAACTGTGTGTTAGGACACCTCCTGCAATGTCTGAGGCCCCAATAGTAACTGTGTGTTAGGACACCTCCTGCAATGTCTGAGGCCCCAATAGTAACTGTGTGTTAGGACAACTCCTGCAATATAACTGTGTGAGGTCCTGCAATAGTAGGATGCCCCAATAGTAACTGTGTGATTGGACAACTCCTGCAATAGTTGGATGCCCCAATAGTAACTGTGTGATTGGACAACTCCTGCAATAGTTAGATCCCCCAAAAGTAACTGTGTGATTGGACTACTTCTGCAATAGTTGGATGCTCCAATAGTAACTGTGTGATTGGACAACTTATGCAATAGTTGGATGCCCCAATAGTAACTGTGTGATTGGACACCTACTTCTATAGTTGGATGCCCCAATAGTAACTGTGTGATTGGACACCTCCTTCAATAGTTGGATTCCCCAATAGTAACTGTGTGTTAGGACACCTCCTTTAATAGTTGGATGACCCAATAGTAACTGTGTGTTAGGACACCTCCTTTAATAGTTGGATGACCCAATAGTAACTGTGTGTTAGGACACCTCCTGCAAAGTCTGAGGCCCCAATAGTAACTGTGTGATTGGACACCTCCTTCAATATTTGGATGCTCCTACAAATATTTGGATGCTCCGATAGTAACTGTGTGTTAGGACACCTCCTGCAAAGTCTGAGGCCCCAATAGTAACTGTGTGATTGGACACCTCCTTCAATAGTTGGATGCTCCGATAGTAACTGTGTGTTTTGTGCTCCAGGTTGTGGGGATGCCCAGGTTGACCTTGTCTTTATTCTGGAAGCCTCATCTGAGTTTGGAATCTACAACTTCAACCTTGCCCTTGACTTTGTCCGATTCTACCTAGTGTACAGCGACATCAATGGCGGCAATGTGAGGGTTGGCTTCATGACCTTCAATGATGAGGCTCGTGTGGAGTTTCAGATGAGTGACTATCGTGACAAGAAGCAGGTTTATCTGGCACTACTCCGTCTCCAACATCGGGGTGGCAGTGCCAACATCAGCAACGCCATACATGTTGCACGCACACAGATGCCATCATATTACACAGATGTTCCTGTTCAGCTCCACGGGTGATCCGGAAATTTAATAAGATATTCGTTGCAGATGCCATCATATTGATGACGGTGGGGAGGGTCAACGATGATGCCAGCCACATCCTCTCTGAGGCCTCAGCTGCCAAGAACAGTGGTGAGTCTTTCGGGGATTTAATCAGATATTCTAGCCTTGCACATGTTGGTCTGTATGATGTCATGTGCAGAACATCCACATATTTTAGCAACCCTATTAAACATAAATGCTTTTATGTTTTGTTGGAAGTTGCTTGTGGTAATTTTTCTGGTGTCAACTACAAACAGGTTATTGACATTAGAAATTATTCTTCCTTATTGCTCTGCACAGGAATCCACATGTATGTCGTTCCAGAGCAGTTTGGACCACACAGCAGAGATTGGTGCCATCGCAAGCACACCTGTGGAGGACAACCGGTTCTCTCTGGCCCAGTTCCAACAGCTCAAGGAACTCCGGAACTCTATGTTCAGGTCACACTGTCCAGGTTAGTCAAGATTTCTCAGGTTCTACGTGTTCTCATTGCAGGGCAACACGATCACAATTGGTAATAACAGAATAATATAGAAACATAAGAACAAACACCACTACTCCATCTTTCACAGTACAGTGCACTCTGTCTAATTCGGACTGGCTTGGGACCGACTAAAAAGTCCGAATTAGACAGCAGTCCGAGGTACACAGATTTTAATGGACTCATCTCCCTTTGACGAGCATACGATTGTGCATGAAACACATATTACATGAATGCGTATAAAGATGAAACACTTCCTGACAAAGTACATGTACATTTGTTTATTACATACATGCATATAAAAGCTCTCGAATTATTCCCTGGTCAAGAGGTTTGAGAACTGACGTTGTGATGGGCGGAAGATATTTTACTGTAACATTGCTGAGCAATGAACAAGAAGATACGCCTCTTTCTTTTCCTCATCTGTCTGTTGACTTGATCTAGCCAATCACTGAATATGTGTGAGGTCATCCATGCCTTCCGATTGGCTCGCCAAGTCACGGGTGTGTCTCCATATTTACATTCTTGAAACAGCTTGGTCTCTCAGCTTTTTTGTCTGGTAGTGCTCGATAAAACAAGCCTGTTTCATCACAGTTGGAGACATCTTCTAAATTGTAGCCATCGATGATTGATGGGAGAGGGACTTTGAGCTCGTCGACAATGACACTGAGTTTACATGATCATCTCAATTATAGTTTACAAATTAGTGTTAATCGCGTCAAAGGTAAATAAGTGTTCACCGCTAGACCAAGCAGTCTTGGCCAAGCAGACTTCCTGCTCAGTAAATAAGACAAAATACACAAACCAATCAATGGATTGTTTATTCAAGGTTTACTGGCCAAGCAGACTTAGTGCTCAGTGCGGATTATAAAGCAATGTTTTTACGTGTAACTACCTTTTCAGGGCGACACTTTGGTCCGAAATCCGAAATAATGAGTGTATATTTCCTCAGAGGCAAGTAACTCTTGTATGTCTGATCCAGGGGCAAGTAACTCTTGTATATTTCCTGAGTGTCCGAGATACAGAGCTTTTTTATTATGACAACAAAGAAGGATTACGTCCGGACCATAAGTTCAGTCCTGTTTATGCAGCAATCCGAGAAAGACAGAGTCCGAGTTTGACAGAGTGCACTGTAGTTACATGTCAATACAGCTCCTGGGGTAAGAAGCTCCTGTGTACCATCTCCAGGGGCATGTAACTCCTGTATGTCAGGTCCAGGGGCAAATCACTCCTGTATGTCAGCTCCAAGGACAAGTAATCTGTATGTCAGCTTCAGGGACATGTTACTCCTGTATGTCATCCCAAGGGTCAAGTAACTCCTGTATGGCATCCTCAAGGGCAAGTAATGCCTTTATATTACCTTCATTGGCCAGTAGCTCCTGTATGTCAGCTGCAGGGCAAGTAACTGCTGTAGATTACCTCAGGGGCAAGTAACTCTTGAATGTCTGATCCAGGGGCAAGTAACTCCTGTATATTTCCTCAGAGGCAAGTAACTCTTGTATGTCTGATCCAGAGGCAAGTAACTCTTGTATATTTCCTCAGGGGCAAGTAACTCTTGTATGTCTGATCCAGGGGCAAGTTACTCTTGTATATTTCCTCAGAGGCAAGTAACTCTTGTATGTCTGATCCAGGGGCAAGTAACTCTTGTATATTTCCTCAGGGGCAAGTAACTCTTGTATGTCAGCTTCAGGGTCAAGTAACTCCTGTATATCATCCCCAGGGGCAAATAACTCCAGTATTAAGCTTCAAGGACAAGTAACTTTTGTATGTTAGCTCCTGTGGGAAGTAACTACTATATGTCAGTTATAGGGACAAATAGCCTCTGTATGTCAGCCCGTGGGGCATGCTTATGTCTTATCAGGTATATTTGGCTGAAAGCTGTTGCGTGATGCTATCACTTTGGATGTACAACTCATGTGAAAAGCTGTGATCTGGACAGATTGTGGCAGGGGTGAAAATAACTTTAAAATTGATAGTGTACTCCGGTACAGTGCAAAGTCACTTGCCCTGATAATTTTTCCACTATACTGACCGTTTTCTTGCTGATTTTTTAAATAAACAACATAATTAACATTGGAAAGTCAAGTGGACACCGGTACAGTGTGATATACAAATTTGCTTGCCCGACAAAAATACACTGGACTCGGACGTCGGGCAATGGGTTATTTCCACCCCTGTGTGGCCGCGTCTTGGTTTTCTCACATAGCATGGCTCATGACTCAGGACTGTAGGGGTGTTTCAGTCAGTAAAAATTCAATCGTCAAGAACAGTTAATGTAGTCAGTATGCTACCAGGTTTCATAGAGGACATTTTGTGACCAAGGTTTACTGGTATGTATTGTGACCAAGGTTTCATTGGGGTGACAATGGTTCACTGTTCAAGTATTGTGACCAATATTTCATTGAAAACGTTGTGTGACACAGGTTTTATTGTGGACATTTTGTGACCAAGATTTACTTTTGATGTTACGTGACCAAGCATTATGTTTCTGGTGAAGTGACAAAGGCTGAAGTGACAAAGGAACTTGATGGTAGTTAACAATTTATATCATTTAATACAGGCCTTGCCATGTGTAAGAGAGTAAATAAGTTACAGCCCTGTATCTGACTCACTTCCTGAGCCTCAGTTTGATTGATATCTCTCAACGTTAGTCAGTTATGAATCATAACTTTGCCGTTGTCTAGTCTAAATGACTGGGGGGGGAGCCTCGTGGTTAAAGCGTTGGCTCGTCATGCCAAAGGCCCGGGTTTGATTCCCCACATGGGTACAATCAGAGATGCCAATCCATACGATTTTATCGTATTCATAACGAAATATACAACACAAAATACGTGACTACGATAGCAATAAAAAATATACAAATTTATAAAAATAATACATTAAATTAAATTATCAAACAGCATACATACCATACACAATAAATTTCAATCACATTTTATTTAGTGTCAAGCTATATATGGATACTTATTACTGATTTAGGTGAGTACAATGTCAATAGCAAGGTCTTAGACAATATATTTACATATTTTATTTAATATGAAAATTCTTTGGAAAAGTTAATACTAATTTTGGCCCAAAAATACTAATTTTTGCATCAGTTTTTGGCCAAAATACTATTTGGGCTAAATTAGGGTTGGCATATCTGGTACAATGTGTGAAGCCAATTTCTGGTGTCCCCCACCGTGATATTTCTGGAATAGTGCTAAAAGCGGCGTAAAACCCAACTCACTCACTCATTCACTCATTCACTCAAATGACTGGATTAAGCATGTGTTCAAATTAACAGGATTAAGCAGATCCATAGACGAGTTAGCATGCTCCCCACATACTTTTTGTCATATTTACTCAGAAAACACCATGGCTGATGCAAAAAACAGTTTAAAATGTCAACAAATGTGAAAAAGATTGCTTGAAGTGTCATCAAGAATTTGTTTGATTGCAAACCCATTAAAATGATTGGTTCAAAGATTAAAAACGGGACAGAATATTTGCTTGTGCTTTGAATGTGGAATAGTGCCAGGGGCAAATAGCTGTTTGAGTTCTCTTAGGGTCTGTGATGATTTTCAGTGCCTTTTAGTATTTGTGATGGCTTTGATTGGTTTGCATTCACTTGAATCTATTACATCACTTCCATATTTTTTTCATATTTGTTGACATCTTAAATGGAACATCAAAGGTCAGTGGGATTGCAAACAAGCTGTGAATTAAACCTCTCACTTAGCTTACCCCTCTCTCAGCTCTGTGCCCTCCCTAGCTCTATCCACTCTGCTACAGCTGGGTACCCGTCACTTAGCTTGCCCCCTCTCTCAGCTCTGTACCCTCCCTAGTTCTGTCCTCTCTGCTACAGCTGGGTACCTTCACTTAGCTTCCCCCCTCTCTCAGCTCTGTACCCACCCTAGCTCTGTCCTCTCTGCTACAGCTGGGTACCCTCACTTAGCTTCCCCCTCTCTCAGCTCTGTACCCACCCTAGCTCTGTCCACTCTGCTACAGCTGGGTACCCTCACTTAGCTTCCCCCTCTCTCAGCTCTGTACCCTCCCTAGCTCTGTCCTCTCTGCTACAGCTGGGTACCCTCACTTAGCTTCCCCCTCTCTCAGCTCTGTACCCTCCCTAGCTCTGTCCTCTCTGCTACAGCTGGGTACCCTCACTTAGCTTCCCCCTCTCTCAGCTCTGTACCCTTCCTAGTTCTGTCCTCTCTGCTACAGCTGGGTACCCTCACTTGGCTTCCCCTCTCTCAGCTCTGTACCCTTCCTAGCTCTGTCCTCTCTGCTACAGCTGGGTACCCTCACTTAGCTTCCCCTCTCCCAGCTCTGTATCCTCCCTAGCTCTGTCCTCTCTGCTACAGCTGGGTACCCTCACTTAGCTTCCCCTCCCAGCTCTGTATCCTCCCTAGCTCTGTCCTCTCTGCTACAGCTGGGTACCCTCACTTAGCTTCCCCTCTCTCTCTCAGCTCTGTATCCTCCCTAGCTCTGTCCTCTCTGCTACAGCTGGGTACCCTCACTTAGCTTCCCCTCTCCCAGCTCTGTATCCTCCCTAGCTCTGTCCTCTCTGCTACAGCTGGGTACCCTCACTTAGCTTCCCCCTCTCAGCTCTGTATCCTCCCTAGCTCTGTCCTCTCTGCTACAGCTGGGTACCCTCACTTAGCCCCCTCCCAGCTCCCTGTATCCTCCCTAGCTCTGTCCCTCTCTGCTGCAGCTGGGTCACCCCACTTAGCTTCCCCTCTCCCAGCTCTGTATCCCCTCCCCTAGCTCTGTCCTCTCTGCTACAGCTGGGTACCCTCACTTAGCTTCCCCCTCTCCCAGCTCTGTATCCTCCCTAGCTCTGTCCTCTCTGCTACAGCTGGATACCCTCCCCTAGCTTCCTCCCTCTCTCAGTTCTGTACCCTCCCTAGCTCTGTCCTCTCTGCTACAGCTGGACACCCTCACTTAGCTTCCTCCCTCTCCCAGCTCTGTATCCTCCCCTAGCTCTGTCCTCT